GAGAGAGAGAGAGAGAGAGAGAGAGAGAGAGAGAGAGAGAGAGAGAGAGAGAGAGAGAGAAGGGAGGTGGTCCTGTCACCTGCGGCGCCTTACGATTAGGTACCGTATTCCGAGCTCTACCCCTTTTCTGCCCGGCAACGCCATCTGACCATTCTTGGATCGGAGTGACAGACACACCTGTGTGGCTGCATGTGGGTGTGTGAGCCCATGGGTGTCTCCTAAGGACATCCACACAATAGGACCTTTTCAACTGAACCTAGCCCAAATCACTCACAGATACACCCAGGAAAGTCCTGAAGTGAATATGACTGAAATGGTTGGGTCTCTAATCTGGTCCTTATCCGGCCATAATCAGCCTCTAACATCGCCCTAATCTAGCCCTAGACTGGTCGCTGGTTGGGCTAATTGGGCCCTAATCTGCTTCACAGTTCCACCAACTGTCTGCCCTAACCCGGTCTTAATCTGACCCTATTCTGGCCCTGATCTGGCTCTAATCTGGCCCTTATCCAGCCCTTATCCAGCCCCTTATCCAGCCCTTTTCCAGCTCAAATCTGGCCCTATATGGCCCTAACCTGGCGCTAACCTTCTCCCCAGTTCCACCCAACTGTCAGGCCACAATGTGGCCCCGATCTGACCCTTATCTGGCCCTAATCTGACCCTATTCTGGCCCTGATCTGGCTCTAATCTGGCCCTTATCCAGCCCTTATCCAGCCCCCGATCTAACCCTTATCTGGCCCTAATCTGACCCTATTCTGGCCCTGATCTGGCTCTAATCTGGCCCTTCTCCAGCCCTTATCCAGCCCCTTATCCAGCCCTTATGCCGCTCAAATCTGGCCCTAACCTGGCACTAACCTTCTCCCCAGTTCCACCCAACTGTTGGCCCCCAATGTGACCCAATCTGACTCTTATTTGGCCCTCTGGTAGCCCTAATCAGGCCCTGCTACACTGGAAAATGCTCCTGGAATTTACTGACCTGGCTGTGCTACTATGGATCCTCCAATCTTGTCTGTCACTCACTTCTGACATATAAATAAAACAGGACACTGGAAAACTCCAGGTACACTGGAAAATGCTCCAGGTCAGTACAGGAAAATTCCAGGTACACTGGAAAATGCTCCTAGAGTACTGTACCTGTCAGTGCTCTAGGCCACACAAGAGTCCATAGAACAGATCAATATGTGACGATATATTGTTTATACATGTCGTAGGATGAGCGAAAACAAGATACTCTCCGCAATTCTTGCAGATGCGCCGGGCGTACCCATTCTAACTCGTCCGTTCTTCGCCATGGATGTAAGTGCTTTGTCATCATTAAGCACCTGGCAGGCTTTTGCCGCCATTTCGTCAGCAGTGGAGCAGAGAAGAACGGACTCGCCAAGCAGCCGCGTCTGCGCTTCCGCAAAGGCCCAAGTGAACTGCGGCCCCGGCCCCGGGAGGGTGAACACGGGCTTTCCAAGGCCGACAAGCTGCTCCGTCGCAGTGCCAGCCATTGAGAGACCTCCATGAACCTTCTGGATGCAATCGGAGAACGCTCCGCGCACCATCATTAGGATAACTTTCCTCGTCTTCTTGATGTTCATAGCATCGGACTTCTTCTCCTTCCCAGCACTTCCGTTCACAATCTTCTCGAAAACACTGACCATTGGCCGAGTATCGCCTTCGCCAGCAGCTATCCCAAGAAGGTGCTGCGGACTTTTGTTTGCAGTCGACAGCTCCCCAGAAAAAGGCTCCTTGTCCCTACAAGGTTCTCGATGTCTGCTCGGCGATTTCTGCAATGACCACCCTTTCTTCAGGAGAATGCCGGAAAGCTCGTCCATCGGAAGGGACGGGACGATCGGGGCCAAGAATACAACATCCGAAGGGTCGCGTGCGGACCGGTAGAGGGCTGTCGCGATACTGCTGGCTGCTTCCACGAGAATATCCCAGTTCGCTAACACCTCCGGGAACCGCGATCCCGGAATGATGGCTAGTAGGACTGCGGTGCCCCCCTCAACCAAGTGGTCCTTCAGAGTCACATCGAGCGAGCCGGTTGCATCTAGACCGTCCATCATTGGGTTTCCCAGATCTGCAACTTTATACTTTGCATTTGCTGCCAGCTCTGACGTCAGAACTTTTGCTGTCAGGCCATCTCTGGGAACTGCCAGTTGACAGAGCTCACTGGCAATCAATGCTCGCTCCCAGGGAAGATAAACACAAGACGGCGATACCAAGGCCTCCACAAAGTCGCGTGGCGAAGGCTGAATCAGCTCCCCGTTGGCCTTCCTAATGTAAAACTCGCTTTTGGCCGTCCCAATAAAGCCAAAACACATCTTCCTTCCCCTGTCTTCCGTTTCGTCGTTTTCATCCGGATAATCAACGGAGGAAGTCCACCGTCGATGCATGTGACTTGCCAGCCATGCCATCGCAAGAGGAAAGACATCCCCGACAGCTAGGAGGCGGCCTCGAGGGTGCTCCTTCACCCATTGTCTAATCGACTCCCACTGAGACCATGTGAGGTCCAACAAGCCGGCTTGGAAATCTCCTAGAAGCTGTTTCCTATCCATGTAGACGAACCCTCCGCTTGGCATCCGCTTCACAGGCCCGACGATTCGGAACCCTGCATGCGCATAAGCTTCACCAAGTCCTACCAATGGAAGAGCGTCTATCTGAAGGTTTACACCTTGCGCAGCCGCAAGCATCTGCAGCTCTCGAAGGACAGAAACAGCGATGGCGTCTTCACCGTGTCCATTGCTGAGGCAGAGAAGATCGGCGACAAACGGACTGCTGTCATCCCAAGGGGGAAACTTTTTCCCCACGCCATGAATACTGTGCCTAGTTTGTCTTCCTTCGCCCTCGGCGGACGAGTTAATACTGCCTACTCCTATGGAATCGACATCTGTAGCTTGCTGCGAGTCCATACAATGTTCCTTCCCGTTCCTTGGACCTAAGCTGGAACCAGGATCAGGATCAGGATCTTGTCCGTAGTCCGACGGAGACTTGTGAAGATTGTTGGACAAGCTGAAGCAAACACTGTCAGCTGTCTTACTCGTCTGACGAGGGGATTTCAACGACCAGTCAACCGTATTGCTGACATCCTGGTGATGCCGAGAGGCCGGGATCGACGTGCGACGAGTCGGATTCCGATTGGTTGAAGATGCACGGCAGGTCACAACATTTGACTTCGCTCTTCCTGATCTCCTTGGCGACGGCAAGCACCGAATGCACATCTCGTGGCCACTTGCTTCGCCCGAAGCAGAAAACACAGACACCGCCACACTGGCAAGTGACACTTGGGGAGGGACACTTGAAGAGTCTCGTGATGGCGAACGACTGAGTCCACTCTTCCGTAGGCAGCTGGAGAGCAGATCAACATCTCGAGTTGACGCAAAAATCGGCAGTCCTGAACCCATGGTGAATGCGCAGCAGCGCAGAAGTCGCGGCCTTGTTCTTGGACAAGTGAAAGGCGTCTTTCGTAGACGGGTCGAAGATGACAGTACTTGCGTCCCGATCGCCGTGATCGGCTTAGGATAGCGCCTCGTTTGCTTTCCGTTGGCCTCCAACAATCCCAAGGTTGCCCAACAGAAAGGCGAAAAAACGAACGATTTCCCCCCTGACCTTCTTGCCGCGGTGGTTCCGTTCGCTGATAGGATCTCTTTCTTCTCAACAATGGTCCCACCTCCACTGCGAGAGACGTTAGCGAAAGCCCGTGCAGCTAAGGACGAAGCAGTCGATTGCTTAACCTCATCTGCAGAAAGAGATTTTGCACCGGACCACAGGTGATGCCATAGTCAGCGACCGGAGGGACCGCCACCGAAAAGTTTGCGAAAAACAGTTAAGCGGTCGGGATTTCCGCAACCCACTACACCGGTCGGGATTTCCACAACCCACTACACCGGTCGGGATTTCCGCAACCCACTACACTGGTCGGGATTTCAGCAAACGGTCACCACCATTCACCGGCAAGCCCTCCCCTCACCACCACCCCCCCCCTCTCCCCGGTGTCAGTCAGTTCAGGCACACATTCTCACTCTTTATCAAGCTTTAACAGACCCGCCATTTAGGTTACGGTACTCGCCATCCCTACCATTGAATCCCAGCAGACACCCTGGGTCCCACCATCGAGTTCCAGCAGATACTAGTCCCGCTAGGACGATAGCGGTCCCATGATAAAGTGCCAGTAGTTCCCAGATGACTGCATAACTCTGGCAGAATACATGCTCCTTCTGGTGATTGTTGTCCTCGTTCGGTGGGTGTGTGGTTCAATGAAGGAGCTGTACGTGGACATGTTTCCCGGCCTGTTCCAGCAAGGTGGTGGTGCTCCACATGAATAGCTAAGGGCGGAATGGTGAGAGGGCGAAGAAGACTAAATCATCAGAGACCTATCCGTTACCTCAGGGGTGAGGTCCTACTAGCAGAGAGGATTGGATGGAATGCCTGAATCTGGACGTGTTTGTGCCACGGTGCAGAAAATTGAGATTGAATTGCTTTTCTGCATCTGTGCTGAAAACACATCCACATTCAGGAGCTGAATCGAATCCTCTCTGCTAGTGGGACCTTCCCCCTGTAGCGGTTTCAGCGTGGGCAATAGAGGGCTGGAGACAACAAGCAGGTTTTCAAAAAAAAAAAAAAAAAAAAAAAAAAAAAAGTCTTTGTTTAAAAAAAAAAAAAAAAAAAAAAAAAAAAAAAAAAAAAAAAAAAAAAAAAAAAAAACAATAAACAATTTGTACCCATTCTTCCCCTATAGGGCCTTCAACTTGCCTCTTCCCCCCCCCGCCCCCTTCATGGTGGCCATCCTAATTCCTCCTTCCAGCCCTTCACTTCTGCCTATCGACGCTATTGTGTCTCCAGACTCCCACTTTATGCCTCCCCTCCTCTTGCAATTACTTTGCCTTCTATAAAGGTTTTCCCTAGCTTGTCCAACTTTTCCTGGATGCCAACTTTTCCTAGGTTTTCACCGTTCCCACCGTCTCCAACATTCCGAAGTTTTCAAGGTTTCCATGGTTTCCCGCCCTTTTTTCCTTTTTAAAACTCACTCCCCCCTCCCCCTTGGGCCCCTTTGGCCCCCCTTGGGCCCCTTCCCCTTTCCGTCCACTACTTCCTGCTTCCTCCTATCATTCTCCCTATCCAACCCTACTTTCCTATTATGGTACATCGACCCTCGTCCCCCTCACCCTCCCCCCCTACTGCTTTTCTATCTATGTTACAAACCAGCCTTGTATTTTTTATGGTCGCTTAGTCCCCTGCCTGTATCACCCCTGCCCCCCCTTCACCTCTGCCAGTGGTCCCCGCCACGTGGAGCTGCAGGATGGGGCCTAACTGCAGCTACCCAGAGCAGGAGGGAGATCCCACTACCGATGTATGTGGATTAGTGTTTAAGGTGTGTGACGGTTAGGCATCGTGGATTTGGCAGGAAATCAGCGGTAGCCTGTTTTTGTGAATTAAGCCCGGGAAAAAGGATGTTTTCTTTTGCTCTCCCAGTGGTAGGTTTTTCTTTGTTTTTGTTGTTGGGGTCCTGTGGCTGTCCCAAACGTGCGTGAAATCAGGACCAAGTTTTTTGGTTCGTGAAATCACGCACGTTTCACTCACGGCGAAGGCAAAGACAAATGGCTTCATTGCTGGAAATTGACTGTGGTTTGGGAGGGGTTTGGGAGGGGTTTGGGAGCGTTCGATCCCCTCACCTACAGCAAATGGTGTTTGGGAGGGTTACTCTTGCCCTCCTTTGTCAAAGAGAATTTCTGTCAGAACGACGAACAGCGTGCACTGCGGCCTATTTCAAGGAAGCCTCAGACTATTTTCAATGAATATGGTCCGCATGGCCGCCCACATGGGTCTTGACTGCCACAGCCATGGTCAGTGAATCATACCCTGACATCTGACACCCCCTCACCTACAGCAAATGGTGTCTGGAGTTAGGGCCTCGCCACACCCCTGTCGAAATCGAAAAAGTAGGAGTGCACCTTCCATCTGTTGCTATTCATAGTAATGGATGCATCTGGTCACACACGGCGGGCACATGCATTTGTGCTTTTTGCGATTCGACAGTGGTGTGGCGAGGCCCTTACTCTTGCCCTCCTTTGCCAAAGAGGATTTCTGTCAGAACAACCGAACAGCGTGCACTGCGGCCTATTTCAAGGAAAAGCCTCAGACTACTGTAAATGAGTATGGTGCCCGCCCACATGCACTCAGTCATCTTGACTGCCACAGAGGCCATGGTCAGTGAATCATACCCTGACATCTGATACCCCGCCTGGAGGCAACACCATTTGTGAGAAGAGCACTTTCTTTTCTTTTTTAGCAGTTTTTTCTTCATTTGTTTGGTCATGAAATGGTTTTTTGTGTTTATTTTCTCTATTTCACGCTGCCACCCAGCTGTCCTCCACCCGTCCCCCACCCGTCACACACCCGTCACACTAATCCACATACACGCCCAAGGTTCATTTTTTATTTTTCTGATTTTTATTTTTTTGAATAAATAAATAGCCGAATCTTCTGTCGGGATCCTCTACTTTTGGAGGTCATATAAGAGCATCCTCCCTTTTTTTTTTTTTTTTTTTT